GAGCACTTTGTCTCTCAAGTGTAGTTACGAAATGAAGTGTTTTGCTCTGCTACGTGTGATAGTTAGGCTCAATAAGTGCTGTCACATTGGGTCATCAGAAAAGTCGTGATGTATTTTTCATGTTTTCTATGCAAAAAATGCCTCATGACTTTTCAGGGGATCCAACAGAATGCATTTTTAAAGTGCATACTTCCTGGAAACAAGAGATATCGAAATTTAAATGTAAAAGTTAATATTAAATAAAACCTAAAACCCAAGTACATTAAAAGAGATTCTATTTATACATCCATCGATCGAGTCCCATTCTTATCTCTGGTCAAGTTCCGTCCTCCACCACAGACATTTCAGAATGGAACTTCCTGCTCTCCCGTGTGTGGCTCTCCCCAGCATAAGGCTCAGGAATGACTTGCAGTGACTTCCGCTTCTGTCTGTTACCCTTGGCTTCTTCGTTTGGCTTCCCTACAGTGCACTCAGACTCCCACCCCCTTCACGGTGACCCTCAACAAGTGCCACTCATTTTGCCAGAGCTCTCTCGGGTTACTATTTTCTTGATATGTGAGGTGATACAGTCTTAAAATCTGCAGCATTAAAACAAATACTTTAAAGAATATTAAAGAGCATGTTATCAGGGGTTCTGGGTCGCCATGCAGTAACTGACGCTCCTCCAGACTGGACTACTGAGGAGGTCTAAGAGAACATCAGACACAGCAGGGACCACAGACGGCCTACCTATCAATGCCAAGTGGCGATCACACTGGCTCCCAAGCACAGCCTACAAATTTCTTAAAAAGCCTGAGCTTTGGGCACGATGAATGACATAATGGACTCCCACGTAGTCGGCCGTGGTTCAAATCCCAGACCTGGTGGCTTAAAACTCATACGGGCATGTGTGTGTGCATGCCCAAAATCCCAAGGGGAAAATGGAAGGGAAGGGATTGTGGCATGGCCATCCCCTCGGGCTGATTTCTCGATTTCTGTCTCTGTCTCTTCGGTGAGTGCACGTGCCCTATAGCAAAAATATCTCCAAAAAACCTGAACTTCAGTGAGACGCACCAGTGCCCAGAAGGACCACCTCGATGCTGCTTCTTTTTGCTTTATCTGCTGGGACCGATTGTCGTGGTAACTGTACTCAAATGAAGCCTATTTACTTCCATGTCTAACATGACGGCTCTGTAGGGATTTTCACGTTTGAGTATTTAGACCTCAGAGCAGAAGATCCCAAGGAGATTAATTATTGGAAAGTAAAATATTTCATTAAATTGACCAAGAATAATTTCCTAATAATCAACAATTTAAAAATAACCTAGTTGGTAAAACATAAGCTGATCAAGAAAATATTTTATTTATAATTCTCTCATACTGTAAATATACAAGGAATTTTGGTTAAAAAAAACTATTCTAAAAAAATTATTCTCTTAATTCAAAACACTAGAACAGAACCCTGCACTGACAGCGTCACTGAGAAATGCTCATCTACCCCATACATTATTAGAATGGCTTTTATTTGGAAAGAAAAAAATGGTTGAATCCTCATCTTAAATCATATGACAAGTTACATTCCAAATGAACCGACCGATCAAATGTACAGCATGCACCAACAAAAGTAACAGAAGAAATATACACAAATGATTACACGGGCTCAGGGTAGGGAGGACGCTGAACATGACATGACCAGACAATGGGAGGAACAGCCATGCTCCCGCAACGGGAAAGCTCCAGGGGCAGCGGTACAGCAGTAGACTGCACACACGTGCAGCATGCACAGTAGGGTGGCAGGTGCACTTCTGGCGAAGGAGGAAAGGTCCGTGTCCTCCAGAGCCACCACTCAGACCACTCATGGAGCAATGATCCCACCTCGTGGAGCTGCTGGAGCCTCTGTGAGCGCTGCACTCACCAAAATTCTCTTACTATAAATATATAGTAACTTCAAATGAAGTACAATCATTCGAGAACTTAAGTTTACCATCTGTGAATTTTTGAAATGTTTTGAAAACTAACTCTGTATTGCAGTCATGTGTCCAAGACTAACTGCCTTCCTCCGCCATAAGAAGACTGGTCATTTAAGAACACAATAGAAGAAACACATGGCACCACACATACACACATGCAAAGCTGAAAAGGCACGAGTGTGCTACAAACATGAAAAAGTCAACATAGATTACGTAGAAGGTCCTGGAAAAGGATAGGTAATGTCAATTTATGTTGAGACAAAACCCAAAACGTACTAAAATAGTAAGCACTAGCTCTTAGGGTGAATGGACCGGAATCAAAATCCATTAACGCTACTCTCCAGAAAAGTATCTGCACAGAACCAGTGACAAAGTATTCTGTTTGGTAAAAGCATTAACAATTCAAATTCATCCATCGCCTCTATCTCAAATCAGAAATAAAAGCCTATTTACTGCAATTACACCTGTTGGAAGAAGAGAGAGCAAGCTCTTTGACCCCGTTAGGATTTCCTGATCTTGGTCTTCCTACCCACAAACTCCATCTGAATGGAGAAGATTTCATGGGGTCCTAGGTTCTGTTCACTGAACAATCACTCCTCCAGTCCACAATATAGCCATACCCTCAGGGTTCCCCATTTTTGGCTTGAAGTCTAGAGACCAAATTTGGAGGTCAAAATTAGCCTTCAATCCAAGTTAAAGCACTAACGACTTTAGGGTCCACTTGCCCATCAGTATGAATGAGATAGCTACCAGTGTCTCAGCACGTGAAGGCTCATCTGAGTGGACGATGATTCAAGGGTAAAGGGCTCCTCTTTTCTAATTCTCAGTCCCTGTGGAATAAATTACTGACATTTCTAGATTAACATCCAGACCCAGAATGACCTGTTCCCTGAACCCAACACTGTAAGATGGCGCACGCGGTCTGTCACGAGTGCTCATGGCCACCTTGAACTGACAATTGGACTAATGATTCAAACCTGGCCTTGCGGGACTTCATCCTTCTTGTCTCTGTCCATCATGGGGATGGGCTGGATTCCCAGCTTCTTCATTTCGTCACCCTAAGATAAATGGGAGGACAATCACATGTTCATGATTTTCAAATCGTTACACAGTTTTGGTAGTAAGTTGTTCCCTTAACTTGCTAATTTTCTTCAAGACGAATAATGGTTTTGGTTACTGGTCCAAGAAACCTGTCAGAATAATGAGTGACTTAGTATACCCTCACTCAGGGTTGCACCCTGACGTCCCCTGAACTGTTTTACCGGAGACCAGCCACCTCTCTAGCTGCCTTCTGCAGAAGGTAGGGGAGTGACGAGGGGAGCAGCAGTGAGAGGAGGGGAAAGAACAGTGGATGTGGAAGAGCCTCAGGCATCTCTCATTCCATTGGAATGATCTTTCCTGTGCAGTGAACGGGTGAAGGCAGGCTTTAGAGAGGAATATCGGCCTGGGAAGAAAAAACACCAGTGTAACTGATTGCATGCCATCATCAAATTTATAATGCAGACGATGCTTATGAAAGGTTTACTATGCTACAAGCTCTGGACTAAGTAATTTGTTAATATTTAATCTTTGTGAAGTGCTATGAGGTGTATTATCTCCATTTTATAGACTTTAAACAGACTGCAGACCACAAGGCCAAATGCTACACCACTGCTCAACCCTTTATACCTCGGACAGTCTTCCTAAACGAGCCTGATGGGAATTAGGTTCTGACACGGCGCATGTGTGCACAAAGTAGGCGGCACCCTGGGAACGGGGCACCGTGATAGGCGCAGTGCAGGTCTGCGTCCTCTGCGGTTAGAACCTGACCTTCCCGCAAGGACATGGGGCTGACTGATTTGCTGGTTTTAGATTTGAAGTCTATTCTTCCACATGCGTGAGATACATCATCAACTACAAAATGCTCCATCCTCCACGTTTACTTTTTTTTGGAAGAGGTTTTGCTGTAGGGCGCGTGTGCTAACCAGAGAGAGAGAGACAGAGACAGAAAGCGAGAAATCACCCCCCAGGGGGGATGGCCACACCGCAATCCCTTCTCCTCCATTCTCCTCTTGGGATCTTGGGCACACATGCACACTCGCCTGGCATGAGTTTAAGCCACCGGGTCCAGGACTCAAACTGCGGTTGACTACATTGGAGTCCAGCGACACAGCCATTACACCATCTGCTGGTCCCCCTCCAAGTTTACTTTTATTCCTTCAAACCAAAAGATGTCTCTGAGGATTCGTAGCCTTTCTTTTAAGTAATGTTTGCATGTTTAGGGAAACTAGGTGCTTGTGATCCAGGCGAACAGGAGTATTATATTCTACTTCAAGACAATTCAGAAAGCAAACTGAGGAATGGGATGCACCTTACGAGTTAGATCATTCTCTCAAGGGAAGTGTTAACAAAAATCATTTACAAGCTTTTTTCGGGGTAACAGGAATTAATAACCCACACTTTCTAAGAACTTGTAATTTGCAGGTGAGTTGACTGTTGTGTGTATCTATTAATTCATATATATGTATGGCTCAAAATTATCTTCCTGAATTTCTAACTGAGGCAGATAGCCCATGCTCCTGTGGGTCTCTCTGAGTGCTGCGCCCACTCCTGGCCAAGGGAGGTGAGCAGTTATGCTTCCTGAGGGAGGAAGCAAAGCCAGCTGGTGAGTCAGGGAAACCGTTGTGCTGCTCCTCGGCGAGTAGGCTCCTGAGCTCCCCCAGCGGATGTCGGGGCATTCACACACACGCTAGAGTAAGAGGTAACGGTGATCACTCCCACGGTGTCCCTGCACAGTGGCTAAACCCTTCAGTGAGGGTGACTGGCCACCGTTTTCCGAGACGACTAGCAACAAGCATGACAAAGATAATGTTAAGCTATCCATGAATTAATTCTTCTGTAAATAGTACCCCATTTTTGATATTATCTATGCTAATGAAAGAATTAAGGACATACCTCAGCCCAGAATTCCGCGTATATATCATTGGCCGTCAGTTTTGTAACTGGCCACAACTTTGTCACAGAGCACAGGTCGCAGGCGGTCATCATCAGGCCAATGACACGGTCTCTAGAACACAGCGGGACAGACGGTCAGTGCCGTGTGCAGCCGTGGGAGGCGCTAGCAAGACGTGTGTGCCCAGAAGGGCCCCGTTCACGCATCACTTCGGAAGGAAGAGCGAGTGCTGAGCAGCAGTAGCAGGCGGGGAGACGAGTTCAAGAACAGGTGGCTTTACCCACGAGGACAGCCACCAGCTCCAAGAGGAGCCTGTCATGCGTTCTCGTCACAGGGTGACTGCTGAAACCAACCCTGAGGAGGGCCCTGGCTCTCTCCCCCTCTAAACCGGCTGCTGAGCTTTCACGGCCATGGACTATGGTTTCGTCTGCATGGAACTTTGGAAGTCTAGAGAGGGAAGCAGCCTCAGAAGCACCCAGCCCTTTCCTGACTGCTCCTTCAGTGGCTCCAGAGAACTTGGTTCCGCCCGAGGGGCCTGAGATGGAATGACTTCAGAAGGACAGTGGCAAGGCCCCTCTCTGCGTGTGTGTCCCGTGTGATGGCTGCACAGGCAGGGGCAGATCAATCGAGACCGGGCTCTCAGACGACTGCTCTAACAGGTGCCCACTTGTGTCGGTACCTGCACCTCCTACCAACCAGGCGGCTGCTGGAAACACACGGCTCAGCCCCTTCGTCTCTGCCCTCATCGTTCCCAGGCCTGGCGACCCTCCACTTTCCAAGCGGCTCCTACACTTTGCCTTAGGAAAGAGTAAGACACGTGGCTGCGAACAGCGGTGCCTCTGCCGTCTTCAGTGAGGGTGAACTGTGGGGCCTGGAGGATGCGGGTGCCCCGCTTCAGGGAATCAGAGGAGCATTCACAAGGGCCTGGGCTGGGCCGTGAGAACCAGGAGTCAGCAATGGGGGTCCCTGTTCCTGGGCCGGAAGGCAAGGAGAGGAGCAGGCCAGACCCCTCAGCACTGCCTTGCCCCTAGGGCCTCCCCCAGAGCACTGTGAACGCGGGGCTGACAGGGACAAAGCCAGGGAAACAGACGGGCCAGCTCCGATTTCCGACCCTCTGCTCTCTTGTTGATGCCACCAGGGACTGGATCCAGCTGGAGGCCGGAAGGCAAGAGAGGCTGGGGGCACACGGGCAACCTGGCAGGGGGCGGGG